ACGCTTGGAGAGAGCATGCTTGGCAAACGTTTACGAGGCATAAACGCCAAAACAAAAGACGACTGGGCGCGAAACAATTAAAAACGTTACGCCCGATCGCTCTCCAACGTTCTCGTCTCTTACCCTCCTCTCTCTCTCTCTCTCTCTCATGTCCTTTCTACGCTTCCTACCCTCTTTTATACCTTTTTCTCTTTCTCTCTAGGCCCTCGCCCCATCCATCATCCCGGGGTGTATGTACACACAATCTCGTGGCCGTATATTCACGTACCCCCCCCTTTCACAACGAAAACACATGAACGTTGTAAAGCGCTGCTCTGACACAAACATACGTGACATGTACGCGCATGTGTGTGCATGCACATATACACAGAGAAAGCGAGCGAGAGAGAGAGACTTGGAAATAAAAGGGAATCGCGACGATTTAATGACTGATCGGGCTGTTGCTCGCTGTTGCTGCTGTACAGGCTGAAGAGCTCTTCCTTCTCCGCACGTCTCGCGTTTCTGCTTTCTTTCTTCTTTCCTCTTTCCTCTTTCCTCTTTTCTGTTTTCTGTTTTTTCTCTCTATTTTCGTGTCTGATAAGGAACTTGCCTTTTCTTCCAACTCTCGCACCGACCCTCGAATCGGTAGGGTCATTTTTGTGCGGCAGATCGAACGCTGCTATTTTCCGAGCGTATCGATACGTAATAATGAGAGTCTTTTCTCATTGCTTAGATCCCATTTCGAGGTTCGAATCTATAAATTGCTGCTGCTGTCGCTGCGCGCTCCTGCTCTTCTTCTACATACATGTGTATTATAAATTTAGTGTATTATAAATTTTCATAAATGCATCATATGTGCATTAACAAGTATTAAATTATTGAATCTCACACTTAAATGCTAAATCTCAGATTATAGTAGGAAAACTTTCGGCGTAAATTATTGTAGCTCACACACAACTGTAATTTAATAGCTTCCTGAAATTAACATCATGTACAAAAGCAAGCCATTTATCAATCGCATGTGCGACCAAAGAAAGAGAAAGCGTTTCCGAGTTTCGCGTACACCCTCCAGTTACTTTACGAGCTTACGAACAATAGGAACTGATAATTCATACCCTCCATCTCCCTCGTATAATCTCGGGATCTAGAACTGGCGAACGTAAAATTTGTGGTGCTGGAAAGATTAAGATTTTGTTTAAGTGTTTGAGAAAAAAAATGGATATATATATATATATATATAAGGCTGAATGTCTGCGGAGTTGATAATATACAATACTTTTTCTCTTTATATTGATTACACATACTTTCCTTTCTCCATGTATAATATGAGTAAGAAAGTAACGTTGGTATACATTGTTTTTTCGTTGCGATACTCTTAAATTGAAATTCTCACTCTCAATTTCATCAATCCTTAAGGCGTCGTCTACAATACACGGAGTGAGAAGTAAGAGTAAGAAATTGTGACCAATCACAGTCGATTATTCTTCTCACGTTCGACCGTGATTGGTCAATTTCTTACTCTTACTTCTTACTCCGTGTATCGTAGACGGGCCTCATCAGGCCTCATGAGATTGTGAAATCTTGCTGAGAAGCATGCATGGGAAAGTATAGGGGAAAAAATGTTGTATCAAGCGTTGCGAGCGTGCGATGCAATGGTTAGGCTTATTTCGCCTAAGCCTAATTTATAGGGATGTTTCGTGTCCTCCACAGTTGCCCCGCAGGCTGTGTCCTATTACTCCTATTCTCTATCTCTATTATGCGCCGCCGCGCCGCCGCGTCGTAGGCCGAAGCTTCTCCCGATATCTATGTGCCATTCTAAATTATTCGGTATTGTCCTCGCATGATTCCATTGTCCGCGTCTGTCTCCACCGTGTGCTGATACGCCATGCCGTCGCAGGTTAGGGCGTAGACCTACAACAACACCCGCTCAGCGCCGCGTGTATCTGCTTCGAGAGTAGGTACGTCTTGTCATCGTCGGTCAAGAGAGAGCTAGAAAGGTCCGTATGTGCATCGTCCGCATGTACATCGTCAAACACGTCTAATTAATCGCCATTTCCGAGCCACCACGCACGATAACTGATAAGAATGCGTGCAGAGTTGACGGAGCTGTCTCTTCGGTGATGAATGCCGAATGTCTATTACTCATGTGTAATCGGATGCTGATTATATTCAAACTACTTTGATTGCAAGGATAGTTGTCAAGTTGACAAGTTCATGAAGACAAGTGCGTATGCGATGAAAGAATCGAAGAAGAAATGTACGATAAAGTTTTAATTGTTGACCAAAATTTCTATATAATTATATAAAAGATGCAATTTTCCTAAAAAGTTTATTATTACGTAATATTATTGTAGCATATTTGTATTTGATTCGATTCAACTTTAATTTATAAAATCTATTGCTGTGACACACATGGAATGGGATTAGCGCCAAATGAGCGTATCCAGGATTTTTTATCTATTCTGTTGGCACATAAACAGTAATTTTTTTAATGGAAAAATATTAGATTTTATAAATCTATTTCTTTTCTTGGGGGGGGGGGGGGG